CTGTTCAATCTCATCCTCATGGTCCGTCGGCAACATCAACTGTTGCCCTGATGTCGCATCCCACAGTCGCAATATCTTGTCGCTACCGCCAGTTGCAATCTGCTTTCCATCAGGTGAATATGCCACACTTCTCACGGATCCAGCATGGCCCTCTAATATAAATTTGAGCATGCCTGTTTCGGTATCCCACACTCGCACTGAGCCATCCTTGTTAGCTGAAGCAAGATCCTTCCCGCTTGGTGAATACGCTACACAGCTGACAGAGCCTGTATGACCCACTAATTTGTGAACCAATACACCTGAGGCTGCATCCCAAATTAAAACTGCAGCTTGACCATCGTCCCAAGAGGCGATATGCCTGCTATCTGGTGAATATAGGGGCCTACTACCGGTTACATTGTCTTCTAAAATCATGAGTTTCTCCCATGTTGATGTGTCATACACGGTAATTGAACACATATATGAACCATCTCTGATAACTCCAATAACTGCAGCGAGTGTCTTGCCATCAGGTGAATATGCCCCACCCAATACCTCACCACTTGCTTCAAGAAGTGGCCATTCTCCAAATTGTATTCCTGCCATCTTTGCTCCACTCAGGTCTGCCTCTCGAAGCCAACATCTCTGTAAGTTCACCTTCCTCAAGTCTGCTCCTTGCAGTTGAGCATACTCAAAAATACCATGACTGATATCGGCTCCTGCAATCTGGATGCCTCGTAAGTCTGCTCCGATGAATGATTCACCTGATCGGATCAAGATCGTCATCGCATTCGATGCTGCTATCCGCCACTTGCTATCGCTCTTCGAGAGTTCTACATATCCATACAGCTGTTGTTTGAACACCGGTTCAAGACGGACACGGTCCTCCAGGAACTGAAGGATAGATGCCTCATCTACAAAGCTCCTCCATACTAAAGGTGATGTCTCATCAGTTTTGACCATATCCGTTTCCTGCTCGCTCTCTTTGGCGTCCATGCATTCAAAACTAAACACTGAACTAATACTCTGTCGACGAGAAGGTGATGTAGTCGCCTTTGCTTCTTCATCGCTCGCAAACGTATTCATCATCGGTTGTGGCTCAAATATCGCTCGTACCAGACTGTACTCTAGAATAGATCGATGCAGAAACCGATATTGATTGCCTGTACGTGTGAGTGGTGATGCTTCACGCAATAGGTTCCTTCTATTCTCTTTGCTGAAGTACGCTTCTTTCCATGTGCCCTTGTCTTTGGATGGTGAGTACTCCACCACTGGATTGCCATTTTGATGCTTATAGATCGCTATAGCCAGCTCCGCCAGATACTTGATCCCATTCTGTGCAAACCCTTCATCTGTCAGTACTCTGAACATCCTTCTATCTTCTGGTCTCAATGTCTCGCCTAATCGCTTCTTGCCTCGTTCGAGCCATTGCTCAACAAACTGGTCATACAGTGTGACCCTCTTAATCTTGCTGTTGGTGATCTCTTGTCCTGGATCCACCATCCGTGGGAGTACCTCTAGTGACATCGATAGTATGAATGGGTTCTTCACAAGCTCTTGTAAGCTAGGGACCATCTTGAGTGCACCCTTGTAGTCCTCCACACCCCACAATAGATCCATAGAGTTGACATATTGTTCGATATAGTCTTCAATCTGTGCCTCAGAGAATGGTACAATTACTGCCTCTTGGAACAATCCACTATCTGCTCGATGATTGCGGTCCATAGGTTGGAATCGATCTCGATAGTCCGATCCAAGATACTCACTGCGACAACTGATCACCATCTGACACTTCCACTCTCCAGGTTTATTCAGTTGGTTGGATGCGTACAGATTGTTGGTCTGCATGCTCTCATCATATCCATCACAGATCAACACAAATGACCGATTCATCTTCAACTCCTTGATCTCCGAGTCTGTGAAGCCGTAGTCTCGCAGTTGCTTTGCAACCAGGTCCTTCTCTGGCTTGTCAATGGCTGGGAGGTTGATGAACAGCGGAATCTGGCCATGTCTCTTCTGGTATGTCTCCCAGAGTGTGCGCTCCAGAGTGCGGTTGAAGGTGGATTTGCCTGCTCCTGAATCTCCTTGCACAAGCATCACTTTCTGGTCGCTGTTTAGGAACTCTTTCACTTTGTCCATCAACAAGAATCGATCGTTATCGCTTGCTTGAGGACTTGCTTTGGCATACTGCTGAACATAGAAGCTTTGATTATTCCCATCTATCCGCCGTCTCTTTAGTTGCCGTAGACTACTCTCAACACCAGGCTTCTTCTGTGCACGATCAAGCAATTGTGAAGATTCAGGTCGGGAGAGTGTAGCAACAGAGGAGAACTGTATCAATGGGCCATGAAGATAATCGGTGTATAGTTCTCGTTTTTTGTCATCCCCATCCACCTTGAGAATATTCAAAAGACTGTCTACAGCTATAATAGACAAGAACACAATGATGGAGCGAAAACATGTATAGAGTATGTGGATTAGTATGTAGTGATTGTTGTCATCCATACAAGAATCAAATACATACCTTGAAAACCATCTGGTGGTAGCGAGGATAGTTGTCTAAGAATATTTATGATCCACTGCTTAATGTGTGTATGGGCTCCCCAATCCCGATCATTCTTGTATATCTCTCCTAGGAATGTGATGGCATCTTGTCGAATATCCATGCTCCACTTTGTATCTGCTGCTATCTGTCCCAGTCTTTGACATAGTCCCCATTGGAATGCTACTTCATTTCGACAGGATACTTCACACACAAGAATCTTGAACTTGGTCAGTTCGCCTATCTGAAGTAGCCCATCAGCTACTCGAAGTGCTGGATACCATCCTGACTTGTGACTGAAGCTCAGTCCTTCTTCCATACACTCTTTGAATGTTGCTCCGCTCTCATAGAATAATGCCCTACCCTTGTACACCTGCAGACTATTGTCTATGATATTTGTCACTGATGGAAGTTCTTTCTGGATGTTGCTTATCTCATCCATGAAGATATTCAAGTTCAAGCCCTTTACTGCACTCACTACTCCAAACACTCCTCGAAGTACTGTTGATGTTCGTCGAAGCATGGCTTGTATTGTTGTTTCGTCGTCCGGAATGTACAATAGTGCTTGGAAGGCATAAGCTGCTTGATAGACTAGATATGGATCTGTACTCTCTTTCAGTCCTTTGAGATATGTAGTAAGTGGCTCATGGAGCTGTTCCCGCTTCAGACCCTTGACCTGGTTGTTGACCATCGCATCAAGGACATGTGAGACTGTAACTGAAAGGTGATAGAGATGGTCTGTAGATTGACCATGTGTGTTTTGCAAGCGAGAGTTGAGAGTGGTGAGGATTGAGACAAGGTCATCCGAATCGAGATATCCAAGAGGAGCATGATGCATCAACTGAGCTAATCCTTCCAGCATATGAGTCTCCAGTATGATGTTTTGACTGATTCCATTGATCAAAGCCGCTAGCAGTGCTCTGAACTGTGTTTGGTCAAGAACTGGAGCCAGAGTTACAACCTCAGCTACAGCTTCAGTCTTGACTCCATCGCTGATGAGCAGTTCAATCACATCCGATGTCAATTTACGCAATCGATCATGCTCATCTTGATTGCTTGATATAGCCTGCCGCCACTCTTTCTCGTGCTTATTAAGGTCATTTGTTTGGATAGGAGCAGTAGGACACAGACTGAGACAATATGAAAGCTGGTAGATATCATCCAGACTTGCATCAACATCTGGTAAGGTGTACCTGATGACTGTTGGAGGTTCATCATGGTTGAATATGTCCTTTGATATAGTTGCAATGGTCTGTACTGGTGTGAATTGCACTGTTTCCATCACCTTGCTCAATTTGCTACTGCTGGATCCGCTGACTCGTTGTTTGGTGGTGGTATCGCTGTTATTGCTGTCGTTATTGTTGTTGTTGTTGTTGTTATTGTTGCTCCTTTGGATGTATCCCCATTTCTTTGCTTTCTTGTACCGCCTTTGTGCATCAGCTAAGTGACCCAATTGCCCGAATAAGCGAGCAAGTTTATAGTAGGCTGAGGCAATACCTTGGCGCAATGCCATATCTTCATTGCAACCTGAAGAGGTTGAAGAGGCTGAAGTCATTGAGGCGAAAGACCTCTTCCAAGACTTTTGAATACGAGATAGTACAGAGTCAGCATCGAAGCATAGCTCCGTCAGTAGGACGCGATCGTTGTCTATGGTGCGAGTACCCTGCATGTACAAGTCAAAGAGTCTTAGAGCCTGTGTTGGCGAGAGTGTATTTCGTGAAGGGGTATTGATACTGCCAAACATGGTCTATTGCTTGTCTTTTTACTCGTAGATTGTATCCTATCCACGCCTCTGAGAGAGAATGACTATTTGTCAGTGGTGAATGTGAAAAAATGTTTTCTTGTGCGCCAGTCATGTTAGCCCGTCTCTTACATGCTGTATGCTTCAAAAGATTCGAATTGAACTAATAAAAAGAAACGCAATTGGAATTGTCTGATGTGATGAAGGATGAAGGATGAAGGATGAAAGATGAAGGATGAAGAGATGATGAAAGATTAGAAGCATGCGTCTGCCTGCCTTTGTGCGACTGTTGCTTTGGCAGTCTACATTCAGCTGAAATTGTTGCACATTTGCTACTTTTTTCTTTTTTACAATGCGTGTCGACTAAAGGTCAATTGGTTTTTTTTGTTTCTGTTCGAATGATCATATTTTCAAATGTGTTTAATATTGGTTTTTTTTTTTTGGCACAAGAATGAAGTGAATGGAGTGAATGAGGATGGAGCCGTGAGAACATGCTTGTGTATCTGGGCTGTGCAGGAATGTTTACATGCATGGTATGGGAAACATTTTTCGGCCGTGACAGGTGAGGCTCCTCTCAAGATGCTCTGTTATTAAGCCCATTCAGTCCCTGAAGTTCAAAATACAAATTTTACTGTTTATTCCTTTACATACATTATTTATTTGGATTCATTGTTTCTAACGATTTGTAACCCGCCTCCACCACATGTCCCATTTTTCCCACCATTTCAGAAAGACTGATCACCTGACGTTGCAATCCTTGGATTGTTTCGTTTTGCATTGTGGGCTAAAACAGCAAAAGTCAAAGTAGTATTCTAGGGGATCCTGCTGCAAGGAATGCTCTAGAAAATTGGGCGAAATGCTGTGTCATACAAAATCATAATAGCAATGTCGCTTGCAAAAACCCATAATCCATATTGATGACGCTGGATGTTGACGATGTTGAATTACGCATTTCCGTTGGTATAGGCGGAGGGACATGGAATGGAAGAGGGATTTTGATAGGGATTTTTGAATCGATTAAGTCCGGTTCACCCATCACCACAATGATTGGACACATTGTTCTGAAATGTTGACAGTTTTTGAAGTGATTTAAAACCACATCACGGTCTCGATATCTATTTCGGCAGACGCAAGTGTAGTCCCATTCATTATTGGAATCTCGACATGCCGAAAATATACGCGTAATATTGACAGTTGGGATATTCTACTCAAATGCGACAGCACTGTTAAAATGATATCGGCAATAATGATCTTTCAGATCTTTCGGTAAGTCCCTGTAAGGTTTACTTTTTGGTTCATCCAGACCATAGGAACGAATTTGATCTAAGGAAATGTCTTTTTTGTTGCAAAAGTTGAATGAGCATCGTTCAATTGTGGCAACACGGTTTTCATTATTGTAAGCAACTTGGAATAGAGAAGATGGTGGAAAAATTAATAGAAAAATAAAAAAAGGCAAATGTACATGTAGACAAAATCATACGGTTTCTGAACTGCTATACGAAATTTCAACATTTGAACGTATTTTATGAAGTGTGAAAGCTCCACGAATGAAGTTCCAAGTGATGTCGCAGAATGCTTCTCTTTCACTAAGGGTCCCTTGAAGTCGCTCAGTAAAGGTAAAATGATGGTCACTAAGGCCAAAAAAAAAAAAAAAAAAAAAAAAAAGGTAAGAAAACTTTTAAAGAATTGTTGATATTATAAATAAATCATCTAATTTACTTAGTATGATGATACTGTTTCCATCAGATATCGGTAAGTGGGGTTTTCGAATCTTCCGTACTTAGTCAGCGCTTTTGTTACATCTTCAAATGTGATGACATCCGGTTTGAATACCGTAGAACAGATAGAATCGAATTCAGGAAATGACAACGAATGCTTCTTTGCGATAGGTTGCAAGAAAATGTAAGAACAAGGATGTATCGGATTCTTGCGATAGTAAGATCCGCGAAGCCTTTCCCAGTGCTGCAGAAAAAGGGAGAAGAATGAACGAAAGTCTTGAAGCGTAAAAAATAGTCGTGTCCCTTGTACTTCCATAGTTTCATACGCTTCCTAATTTTATGTTGCTCAAATAGATCTTTTACATTCATGTCTCAAAAAAGTATATGAGTGAAATGTAATTTACCTTGATAAATATCATTTTGCTGTAAATCAGTTACAAATGATGACCAAAAAGAGTTTCCACTTTTCTCTTTCCATCGAACGAAAGCGTCCTTCAGCAAAAGACGTTTTTTATCTTTTAGTTTATGTTGTCTGTCGGAAAGGTAGGAGGAATAAAGATGCTCTGCCTGCGATTTTGATATTATTTTGAAATGTTTAACGAATAACTCAAAAGACTTGTCCTTGTCCCCATGGAACCATTTCAGATGGCAATCACCTAAAATTAAATCATAAGGCTTAGAAATCTTCGGCATGTTGAAAGGAGGAACAATGGAAAAGATCATTATCACAGATTTGATTTGATTTGATTCAATACTTCAATCAGTCCCTGACTGCTTACAACAACGCACAAAGATGATCAAGCCTGAGCTTGAGCAGATTAAAGAGTTTCTGCAAGAGGCCAAAGAAAAGAATGATAAAATATATCAACCGCAGTCCGCAATACTTAAATTACAAGAGGAGGCTGAGAAAATGAGGGAAGAAATGCTTAAACTGCAAAATCAGGTCTGGATTTTCGATAAAGGGAACATTATTGAACTGACACTGGGCCACCAATTGACAGTTAGCATCACGAAGGAAATAGTGACCCACTTCAGGCAAAAGAAGGATGTGATGCTGATTGATGTTTAACTAGAAGAGAGGCCAATACACATGAACAGCTTTGCTGAGTTCGGTCGTGAAAAAGTAATTGAAGTAATCAATGCTAAATTGCTGTTGCGATTGAAGGAGAGGGATCGTGCGAGTATTTTGGATATTTGGGTGTATATCTGCATGTGTGCGTGGTCGGCCAAGGAAAAACCAACATACATTGTTTGTTTGGTTTAGCAATTGCGCAACACACTACCACCATCATTTACAAAATGAAAGCGGTGCGAAATGAGGAAAAAAAAAAAAAAAAAAAAAAAAAAAAAACTCAGCCTCTTTGGCTTCCCATCCTTTGTTCTTCTCAATCAATCTACAAAGGACATACATTGTACACGCAACAGGAAAAATAAAAAAATAAAAACCCTCTTCTTTTTGCCCTTTTGTTGTGCGCGTGCCAAAGCAAAATAGAAGTTGGAAAGTACATACACCAACAAACAACATTGGTTGGTGGCTAGGGAAGAAATAAAAAACGCGACCAGTTCAAAAACCAACGCCAACCACATCACCAATTACTGGAAACACGATTTAAGATAATAAGATCTGATTTATAAAATCAGCTTTGGTGTAAACTTATCTCATGTACCACTGTAGGTACTTGAGCGGGGTAACGAAGAAGAAAAAAATGATTGCAGATTTGGGGAGAGGATAGAGCAGGAGGAGAAAGGAGGAAAGAGGAAAAAAGAAGAGCCTGAACAATGATATTAAATGTCATTATTGCTATTTGATTTGACAAATTTCATGTAGATACAGGGCAAATGTGCCACAAGTAGCGAAAATAACAAAGTAGCAAAGTAGCAAAGTAGCAAAGTAGCAAAGTAGCAAAGCAACAAAAATGACAAGTAACAAACGAGAAAAAAGCTTGGTGATTGTGAACATGCACACTCTTCCTCTTAAATCCGCCTTCGTTCGGTCTATACGAAGCAACAAATGCAGCTCAAGTTGAAGACTGACCATTCAGTTTGTGGATCTGTTTGTCGTGTCTCATTCCTCATACCACAACCATGTTATGCTGCTGCATGACTACATCGTGCGTTTTGATTAGCACAGCCAACTGTGGCTCGTGCTTAATTAAAGCTGCATGTTTTCAATGGAGTATACATCATGTCAACCATTGCATACTTGGCCATCTCCAGTTGAAGAAGACATCTTCAGATGGTGATCCAGATATCTGGTTTGTTAAATTTTTATTCAATAAGCTGCATATATCAAAGCAAGTGCATAGTTTTTCTTGTAACTGTTGATTGCTCATTGAGTCTCGCTGCCTTTTGAATGGTTGGTTAGAGTCCTGATGCTATACCATCGGATTTGAATCAAGTCTGTTCAACCGAATATGGCCTACTTTAAAGCATTACCCAGAGTGACACCGTTTACTCAGCGCATAAGAGAAGAGCAAATAAGATGCTCATGTATTGCGAAGAAACTATACTACGAGGCATTCCTTTGCTCCGGAGCTGCTGCAGCTTTACTTCACTGAAGACAAGAGGTAATGATAAATGCTGGCTAATCTGATATTGTTGTAAAATTTAGGGGCAGATGCGGTAGGAGATCTAGGTCGTTTTGGTGGATTGTGAAGCTGGTCACTTCCAGCTGCAGATAGATAAAATAATTCTAACACAATAAAAAGAACACACACACTACTCAAAGACTGAACGAGAACAGTCAGTACTTAAATGGTTCTTGTGTAAAAATAAGGAACCTTTAATGATCTATGGCTGAGAAGTATGGGTGATCAATATGAATAATATGGATTGGGAAATGGATGAGAAACGTTCATCCCTTTATTGATCACCTCCTACTGATATAAATAGGGTGAAGGACAATCTCTAATTGACAACTAATAAATGATAAGTGAAATTACTACTTACATGTGACTGATATGTCACATCACCCCCTCTCCAGTGAAGGAAATGATAATAATAGGGAAGTATATGATGATAATAAGTATGTATAAGGTGAGTGTTGACCTCAGTATTGAAGATAAAGATCTCCGAGTATAAAATATAAAAATATAGAAACATGATAATATAAAAATATAAAAATATAAAAATATAGATATAGAAAATTTAGAAAATAAATCATAAAGAAATAAATATCGATTTTTTATTCAACGGGTTTTTCATAAATGTCTTGCCAATGTTCTTTTAGAACGCCGTAGTCGTTGTTTACTCTCGGCAGTATTGTCATTCTCACTGTCATGATCGAGTGGTCTCTTTCGATTCATTTCTGTTGATTCGAAAAGCATTGCCAACGATTCAAAAACGTCAAATAATTTATGAATGTTCTCAAGCTTTGTCAATGTCACGAGCCCGTGCAATGAATCTTTTTTTGACATTTGCTCTTGCCATTATAAAGCTTTTGAGTCGGCAAACGCTGGTGTAGGAGAGCGCAGATGCATCAATGAGGACAGAAAGCGGTTCTCCATCAAGTAGACAAAAAAGAGTGTACACCTTATTTTTGGGATCTGCTTTTTTGTCGGAAGATTTTTTCCAACATATTTCAAGATATCCATGGAGTAATGGGGAAGTAAAGGATGAGAACTGAAAGTTATTGTTTTGAAGTTATGAGGGAGAACGAACGTTTTATATGAAAAGAGGTTTATTTAAAATAATAACAAAGAACTACTGTCCTTGTTCGCTATTTATCATGACATGGCGATTGAACTTCTTCTCTATTTAATCTAAAAAAAAAAAAAGAAGAATCTATTAACTCATTAACAACAACAAATAAAGGATGTCATACCTCTCTTCAAGAGCGTCTATCCTCTCACAAAGTATCTTAATTACTGCCTCATGTTTTTTAACACTATCCTGTAATGAATGGCCATCTGAACATGTATCGGCATTCGAGGCTGGAGGGACCGGCGGCTTTACAGGTCTTGTAGTGTCGTAACACAGATGTACGGTTGAAAAAAAAAATAGAGGAGAAAGGCCATGTCTGACATGGGATTACGATGAATGAGGAAAGGTTCAGTTGTATTTTCTAACTCGAACTCAACCAGGATAGATAAGTGATAACGATTTAAATGATCATGATATTCATTCATGGAGTAATTTTTCTTCATCTTTTTTCTTTTTTCCCACGAGTCCTTTGGCACAAAAGAAAAAAATGTATTTGTTGGATTCACTCATTGTGGAAAGATAAAAAGAAAGATGAAAGAGTGGTCAAGAGGAAAGAGACAAAGAACGAAACCAACACGCAGTGAGGGAGATGAGACACAAGAGAATGGAAGAAAAAGGAAGAGATACAAAGCAAAAAAATAAATATGAGCATACAGAGGAAGAGACACGGGCCATTTTTTGGCAGACGTCGATTACGCCTTATCAGCGGCCCAATCGATGTGTCAATAAGTGAGTCAAATTCATTAAAGTTGAAGCCAACATAAAATATTTGGTGTTTCTACTTTCAAATGTGGAAGGCTGTACATGGCTAACATCACTTTTGTGAGCCCATGTAGCCCAGATGTCGTAATGAAGCCCGGTTTGCGCATTTAAAGTGAGTTTAATGATCTGATATCTTTTTCAGAACAAATTAACACAGCCAAGTTTCGCGGTAAATGCCTTGTACTTCAGTATCATGTATTCGATTTGTATTTTCAGTTGTCATGAAGAGTTCTTCAGATTGGGTGGATGCTACCACGTTGAATGGTGTTTACGTTATAGAAGATATTATGTCCTTACGACAAATTTGGTAGAACATGCTCCGCATGCATCGACATTTGTTGCTGAATAGATATCATTTGCCCCAAAATAGGTCCCGCAATAAGGCTCGTGACGTGACAGCCAGGTTACCCAACTCGACCCGAAGCCTTTCTGACTAATATATAAATATAGATTAAGGTATAGATACATAAAGTAAATTGTTTGTCATTAATGAAGAGAGAGTGTTTTAATGCAATCAATGCGAAATATACAAAGTAACAGCTATTTAAACAGCTCTGCAAAATTATAAAGCCTATGTCAACAAAATGGGACGTCCTTACAATGTTGGGTAAAAAAAAAAATAGAATTGCTGTTAGACAGTCAACAGCTCATTGTCAATTCTTTGAGTATTGCCACTGTCCTTCCAGCGAGCATTCATCCGCACTGTATCAAAACTCCTATCGTGCCAGAAATGCACCAAATTCGCCCCTTGGTCCAGTTCCGCGTCGGTTTGCCAGTATGGGTACTTAAAATAGTCGTCCTCACAGGTAAAATGAACAACCCAAGCTTCTTCTGCTGGGAGTAAACGTTTGTAAGTTAGCGTCTTGCTGATATGGCCCTTAATAGAAGTTTGACTCCCTGTAGCCAAAAGCTCGATAACAACCGTAGGTTTTCCTGCTTTCTTGATGACAATGTCACTATATTTGTGGTCCTCACGCTCACGGAGGTGCCACTGACCAATGATCTCATACTCTTCTGTTTTGTTTAGCCAGTTGGTGAGAACCCTCATCAATTCCGCGTCATAGACGCTCTCTCGAGGGACACTGACATTGCAGTCGCCCATAACCTTAACTGTTTTCCCCGATCCTTTGTATGATCGACTTCCCGCCTGCATAATCAAGTTTTTATCGAAAAATCGAAGAGCAATCTTCATAATCTCTAGAATATCCAATGATCCTCCTCTTTTCTTTGGGGGTGACTCCGAAGGAGCGTGGGGATATTTTGATGGGATAATATATCTCCTCACAAACGAGTCAATGAATGCTGAGGCCATACAGTATTTACTGCCATCAAGTCTTATCAGCACCCCTTCTGCAGTTAGGAAGTCTGCCAATCTCTGTTTTTCCATGTCTGAGATAGATATAACGCCGAGATACCCAATAAAATATGTTCGGAGAAGATTAACAGCATCTGTAGCTGATTCACTCAAAAGTGAATCAACCATCCTTCTAAAAGTATGGTACGAAAACATCCTCTCATTCTGATTGTCTGTGGAGAAGTCCTGCCATGTATCGTAATCGAGACATTTCGTCGAGCCGTTGACTTTCGAGCGAAGATCCTCATGAATGGAGCGTCCACAAAGACAAATCATTCCTGGATGACTATTGACATTGAGCACAATTCATTGTATTAGAATGGCACATCAACTCGTGGAGAGTTAACTAAGCTTAAAAAACATACCCATTTGACTTCGAGTGTACGTCTCGAATAATCTCATCATCTATTTTAATCATCTCATCCTTCGCATAGTCATTAAAGAGCTGCTGCGTTTGATCAAGAGTGAAATACGGGTTCCTGATAGTATTGTTGACATTGAACGGGGATATGTGTTGATCTGTTGTCCGAAGGCGCTGAAGACTAAAGGTTCCACATACGATAACACTGTGAATGGCGTAGGCATTGTTTCTACTCATTGCTCGGAGTGTTTTCAAAAAAATATTTCTGACTTCATCACCTGCTTTGAACAGTTCATCAAACTCATCAATCAAGATGACAAACTTCTCGTCCTTGAGTTCAATTTGACTGAAAGCATTGAGGAATTCTCGTTGGGTTGTAATAACACTGACCGCTTTATAGCTGAAACGAAGAGCATCACCAAAAGTCCCCCAGAAATCAGACTCATTATTGCGAACGTTAACTTCCTCAAATGATAGTCTAAATGAAAAATATAAGGTCAGTACCGGTACAATAGCGCATACATTGCATCCACTTTATCCATTTTCGCGGAAGTTGGCTTACGGGAGGCAGCGATACCCAAAGTCAGTTAATTGGGTGATAAGTCGATACAACCGTGTTGTTTTTCCAGAGGCACGTGCGCCTATGAGCATCACTATCTCGCGGTCAAAAACGCTCTGTAGTATTTTCTTATTGTCGTCATGTTCCGCAGGATCCACATAGTAGACTTGATTAACAGCGTCGAATCTGATCGGTCCATTGACGGTCCACTTCTTCTTTTTCAAAACTGGCGGCACTAAAAAAAAAAAAAAAAAAAAAAAAAAAACAGCAAGACCTGTCAGAAGAGAAAAATAAAGAATCGGTTTCCAATCATTAAGGGAGAATTAGCTTACATGAGTCATCGGCCCTCCTTTTTTTCTCCGAGTCTGTTGGTAAAGGAAGCAATGATAGAAATTGGCAAGAAAAAAAGAAAAAGAAAAAGAAAAAGCATCAGAGGTAGCCGTCAAGCACATGTGCGATGATTAACCTTTTGAAAAAAGAAGAGAACCAATTAAACAAATGAGTCTTACTCGAAGTGGAAGTAGACGGATCTAAACCGCAATAATGCAAAACCAAAAATAAAAAAAGATGGATCATTAGTAATCAATGATTAGAACAAGCGTCACCACATGGCAATTAAATGCTTGCATGCCGCAGTAGCAAGCAATTAGAATTTAAATAAGCTCAAAATGGAAGCAGCAATCAAAAAGACGCAATTGCAGACTATGATGTCATACACAAAAGTTTGAGAACAAATAGCCAATCCCTTACCTTGCAATGGCCGCTGGACGATGACGTGTATGGTTTTCTTCGCTGGAGCAGAACCAAAGACCTCAGAGATCTCGCTTGTTGCTCTGGTGAGTAGCTCCTTTGATTCAATATTGGCGAGATTGATTGTAGCGCCCTCATCAGGAACAGAGACGTGGAAGAGATTCAAT